TGTTCCATGTAGAAAATACAGGCACAAGAGTGACTGCGGGCACTCGTGCATATTTGTGCTGTAAAACCAAAGAAGGGTTTCCAAAATGTATTTTGATAGAAATATTTTACAGACTTATGGCATCACAGTGGTCACCTAGACCAGGGTACACGCTCATGCCAGAGCAGTTTCTTGAGAGAGATGCGTCAGCTTTCAGATTTTGGAGACAAAATGCTGTTCGTTATGTGTACAGTAGAGCATACAGCTATAGCATACCAACTGTCCATGTGCAGTACACCTGCCAGTATTTTTTCCAAAAATGGTGACACCTGCGTACCAACTCTCTCTATGCACAGCTCTGGCTCATACACATTATATTGGCAATACTGCACTGCACTTCCTGAACTGGAATTTATGGGAGGGCAATTGCAGTAATTGCAGAATACCCCACCACTCTAAAAAACCGCCCCCTGGAATGACAGGTTACGTGGGTACAAGGTGAAAATCCCTTGAGAAGAGTGTGCCACTTTGACCTGTACCTGGCTATGAGGTTGGTCATGCGGGGTGGTGGGGTATTCTGCAATTGAGCCGGGCATTATCGCTGGAAATGAAAGCATTCAGAGGCACAATAACTGAAGAACTTGTGCAGAAATTACTCACGAACAAGTATTCTGATTGGTGGAGGAAAAAGTGTTTCAGGACATTTGAAAACGTTCTATCAGGCATATAACTTACACTTGCAGTGAGTAGGACGTGTTGAGATTTAAGAGTGCCCCTGCCAGTCTGTGTTTACCAATGCCCTGCATTCCAACCAGCTTTAAGAGAAGAAAAATTCAACCAGATTTTATTGAGCCATGCCACTAAAGCAATTCAACGTGCATTCATGTTCAATTTCATTAGTTTTCTAAAGTTGTGAAGATGTGGCAGCAAGATTCATCAGCTATTAATTTGGTTGGAGGCTCTTCATGATACTAAGGGGTATCAGGCAAAGGGGAAGCTTATTCAATTGATAAAGGGAATAAGCTACCCCCAGAACTGTGGGGTCCATGGGAGAGGGGCGGACGTCGGACCCCACAGTTCTGGGGTAGTAATTAGTAAACAGCAATAAAACATGAAGACAACTCTCTTATCTGACGTAATGTGGGACATATTTTCACTGCATAAAAAAGTAAAATTTGTAAAAGTTTCACCAGTAAGTAAGTAGTGAAATAAGGGACCTGGCACCGATACAGTCATGGACTGGTTTAGAACAATAATTAGCCGATAAGCACACTTTATTTTTTTCCTGATGACCACAATTTGCAACACTATTTCTCTTCGAGTTAAACTTGAATCTTGCTTTGAGCATGCAAAAATAGTAGCAAGGACTGACCAATCAGCGACATGAAACATGACCCAGTGACCTCATCTTATACCAACAAGAAATTACCCACTTCAGTGATGACAGACATAAATGTACATTCGTGTGTTGTACCGTACATATGATCAGATTAGATCATGGAGGTAGAATCATACCTCCATGATTAGATGAATGTATAGGTTAGATGATTACTGATCGATAAGCCTTATTGCTAATGATTAACCATATGAGTGATTTTGCACAATGGTAGAAGGGTATTGTAGGAAGGAAAAAGGAGCGAACACTGCCCTCTTTTCCTTCCCACAATGTCTTTCTGCCATTATGCAAAATCACCCACGCTGTTTATTACTATTAGCAATTTATGCATGACCATGTACTAATGAAATGATGTAACTTAGACCGTATCAATCATGCTGATTGGTGGGTTGGAATTGGAAACAGTGAACCAAAAGCCTAGTTAAATGCACTCAGTACATCACTCAGTACATAAAGAGAATATTACAAGGATAGTTGCCGTGTTCAATTCTGGCAGCTTGCTGTGAGCCGTAAATGCCATTATTTTTCGATGGAAAGAAAACCGAAACGACGAAGCCAGTGTCGCTGCTTCAAAATTCACGCGTTTTAAGCGAGTCATATTCCTCGACTCTTTTAATATACAACCCGGTCTAGCTGTAGAGCACCAGTCTATAAAAAAAAGGCCATTTGCCGAATAAGACTAATTGCGAATGAAATATGTTGGAAATGAAGAATGAAATTTCCAGGATTTCGAAGAAACTATGATTAATCGATTTTAATCTCCAAAGAAAAGTGTAATTTTATAAACACTGAAGAAAATAATTCCCTTTTATTGGGAAATCTAACCGTAAATTCGTCTAAAAATGATATAATTTGCAACTGGGCTGTAATTCCCAATGAGGTTAAAAGTCTACTTAAATTGCAAACCGACCGCGTGTTTCGCATTTTCGCAGTGTGGCGAAATGTCACTTGTCAGTGAATGTCATCGAAAAAGTTATGACGTTGCCGGAATAAATGGAGCTGACACCCACAGAAGTTGAAACATTGTATCAGCGGACACATGTGTGTTTATTTCAAGTAAGTAAAACATAATAATTTGTAGTAATCTGTGTTTTTCGTCGGATCAAATTCAACCCAACGTTACTTTACAAAAACAGATGTGCAGAGGGCGTGCTTCAAAACATGTAGTTAGTTAAGCGCAGCATGCATGTTTTGGACCTTTTCAAGCTTCATGTGGACTGCGTTCGTTAAACCCTAACAGTCCTGAACCCTCCAATTTTAATATAGTTTTGCACATACCCTAGATAAATAGGGTTAATAACACAGGCAGGCAGAACACCCCTGTTTTCCAATAGATTTTAGATTGTTTTTTAAAAGACCTAATATTAATATCAACCCCATTTTTTGATTTGCCAACAACATTTTGAAGTATTGGGAGTATTGGGACATTTATTGTATTTTGGGAGTAGCAACAAGCCCAACATGCCCAATTTTGTAAACGCAACACAAATAGGAAAGAGTTACACATATGGACATGACTTGACACCCTGCGCACAAGCCCCATCAGACTGGTTTGAAAAATTTTAAGTGTTTTCTAGTAAATGACTAGAGTTTTTTTTCTCCTACACGTAAATTTTCTGGACAGTTTTTGCTTTTTCAAGATGTATTTTTGCGTTGGGAAGATGTTAATTATATATATAACGGTTTGCCCATACCCAACGTATATTAATAAGCACTGTATGCTCAGTGCTTGTCCGAGAGCTTGCGAATCCAACGTATATTAATAAGCACTGTATGCTCAGTGCTTGTCCGAGAGCTTGCGAAAGAAAAACCTCACAAGCTTACTCAGTTATATATATAATTAACATCTTTCCAACGCAAAAATACATCTTGAAAATAGTTCGCGGTACCCCCTGCTTCATTTGACTCGGACCGGCCAGCCGACCCCAGCAAGCTCGG